AAACAGGCTCCAGGCTCCGAGCTGGCTGTCAGCACAGAGCCCGATGCGGGGCTCGAACCCACGAACGGTGAGACCATGACCTGAGCCGAAGTTGGACGGTTAACCGACTGAGCCACCCAGGCGCCCCCACTATGGCATACTTGAAAGTGGCAGAGAGTGGATCGTACGCTCACCAGAAGAAAAAAAAGAGTTAACTATGTGAGGTGATGCATGTGTTAATGATCTTGATCCTGGTAATTATTCTATAATGTGTATGTTTATTAAGTCATCACACTGTTCATTTAAAAAATACGTATTTCTGGGGCGCCTGAGTGGCTTAGTCGGTTAAGCGTCCGACTTTCCGACTTTCGCTTAGGTCATGATCTCGCAGTTCATGGGTTCGAGCCCCGCGTCGGGCTCTGTGCTGACTGCCAGCTCAGAGCCTGGAGCCTGTTTCAGTCTGTGACTCCCTCTCTCTCTGACCCTCCCCTGCTCACGCTGTCTCTCTCTCCTAGAAATAATAAAAACATTAAAAAAATAATAAAAAAATAAAAAATACGTATTTCTTTATTCTTCTCAATAAATCTGGAAACTATAAATGTAAATTTAAAAATAGCTTTTGTAGGGGCGCCCAGGTGGCTCTGTTGGTTAAGCATCTGACTCCTGATTTTGGCTCAGGTCATGATCTCAGAGTTTGTGAGTTCGAGTCCCTTGTTGGGCTCTGTACTGACAGTGTAGAGCCTGCTTGGGATTCTCTCTCTCTCCCTCCGTCTCTGCCCCTCTCCTGTGCTCGCTCTCTCAAAATAAATACATAAACCTAAAAAAGAGCTTTTATATAGTTATACATATACGTATATTCATAGATAAATTATACTATAACTATGAATTTTTATTATGAACATTTATAGGAAAATACCTTCAGATTCACATTCCTGAATTTCATATTTTCTTTCCAAGGCATAACATAACGTCTGGGGATCATCCCTTGCTTTAACGAAAATCGTGGCAAATGAATCTCAATACACCTGGAGATTGGGAAAGCGGGAAGGAAGGATATCTTGTGTTAAATATAATTGTCTTAGCATGATTGCTGTGTCCATGGGGTCTGGATCTCCACAGCTTCAGGACAGAGAGCTATAGCACCATCTGAGGCTCATCTAATAATGAACCCATTAACTCTCCAAGTATCACCAAAAGCCAGAGTCCGGGCTGGATACCTGTACGTCCAGCTGCATGCTGCCCTTTACAATTTGCTCTCAATTTTCATAAAACCTGAGAGTAAGGGAGAAGGCAGCACACTCCATGATGTGCCCCCAGGCCTTCCGTAGCCTAAAGAAGTCTCTGACCAGCCGCAAAAAGCACCTTCTGGATTTAGTACCTGATTTACACGCAGGTCAGACTTGCTTTCCCTGCACAAACATTGTTTCCCTCTGGAACGTAAAGCTTTCTATACAGATGCCAAAGGAAGCACAAAAGGTTTGTCTTTCTCTGTGTAGCTCTCGGATTGCAACCAAACCAAAACAAAACAAGAAATAAACGCCTCCCTCAAACCCAGAACCCTCAGGTCCTCACTTATTAGAAGGCTTATGTGAACTCTCATCAGTATAGGTGTTGTCAAGCTTAGGTAAGATAGGACACGTGTCTTTCCCTGAAGCCATTGCTGCCAGTAGGGACAGAATTCTCATCTAGACCCTCACTAACTCACTCATGCCATTATGATGACATTGTTCACTCCATAGCAACCCACAGCAGGTACATCAGCAGTTGATTAAGAATGTGGGGCGTAGAGCCGTTTTTAGCGGTGTTATACCCATGTGACTGAAACATTCTCATCATGAACAATTTTTTAAAAATGAGGATGCTTCCAGACATAGTACACATTTGACACAAGCATACAAGATGACATTTTGGACTATCCCATTATGATTCACAGAGAAGCCCTTCATATTCACCTTCTTTATTTGCCCTTAGCTTATTTTCCTATTTCTGTGATGCACATGGTGATTGTGTCTCATGTAGGTGTTACCACCTACTGCTGAGACACACACTTTATGAGTGGGGATCAAATATGTTTAAATCCAAGCCAATCTAAGCCATTTTGTCCCTTAAGATTTGAGATATATTGCAAAATATTTGAGATGATAAAAACTCATTTTAAAACAGCGACTCTGGCTTATAGGAATGATCCTTAAATCACCATGAGAGGTGGAGGGTTATTGGTAGGTGGAGGGTTATTAGTATCAATCCCATCGCCAGTAAGTAAGAAGTTAGGCTGAGCAGGAAGAATTACTGCCAGACAGGTTGGTGAAAGTATTAAGTGAATTTACACCTGGCAATAGTTTGGATAGACATTTCTTTCTTTTTTATTTTGAGAGGGGGTGGGTGGAGGGGCAGAGAGAATCCCAAGCAGGCTCCACACTATCAGAGCAGAACTGGACCTGGGGCTCGAACTCACAAACCGTGAGATGACGACCTGAGCTGAAATGAAGAGTTGGACTTTTAACCGAATGAGGCACCTAGGTGCCCACACTCCCCCCCCTTTTTAAAGTAATCTCCTCACCAAACACGGGGCTCAAACTCACAACGTAGGAACACATGTTGCATTCTCTACCAACTGAGCCGGCCAGGAGCTTCTGGATGGATAGACATTCCTAGATTTGAATGGTACAAAGGTTTAGGGAAGAGTAATTTTAATAGATAAAAATAAAAAGAACCTGAAACATTGAAGCATTGGAGAGGACTCTAAACTCTGGCTCGTGCCCCAGTGAGACCCTTACTCCATTCGGACTAGGTTATCTTGCTTCTGAGCAGGTCTTTGAGCTGAAGACCATGAACCTCCAAACACTGCAGTGTCGAGAGAGCATACCACCTTTCCCAGGAGGATGCAGATGTTCATCATCTGGGTGTGAAACATTAAGCACAAATCAACAAAAGCATACAAAGCTGTGGAGAAATTCCTTTGGGAGAATCTGGCCCTGGAAGGATACCTCTATGGGGAGCTGATGGTGAGGAGTCCAGGCAGCAACAACAGGTGCTTTGAGCTGACCAAGGAGCAGATGGGTAGATCCTCAGCTGAGGTAGTAGCCGAGATGCTATTTTATTTATTTATTAAAAAAAAAAATGTTTAGAGAGTACATGAGCAGGGGAGGGGCAGAGAGCAGGAGAGACAGATTTGAAGCAGGCTCCGCGCTATGAGCGCAGAGCCCAATGTGGGGCTTGAACCTACAAACCGTGAGATCACGACCTGAGCTTAAGACGCTTAACCAACTGAGCCACTCAGGACCCAAGATGCTTTTTTAAAAAATTTTTTAATGTTTTATTTATTTCTGAGAGAGAGCGAGCGTGAGCAGGGGAGGGTCAGAGAGAGAGGGAGACACAGAATCTGAAAACAGGCTCCAGGCTCTGAGCTAGCTGTCAGCACAGAGCCCAATGTGGGGCTTGAACCCACGAACCATGAGATCATGACCTGAGCCGAAGTTGGACGATTAACTGACTGAGCCACCCAGGCGCCCCCACGATGCTATTTTAAAGAGGAAAGATCACAGTAAGATTCTTTTTTAAACATCTACTTAGTCCTGGTGTGACCTGGATATCAAAAGAAGGCTTGGGGGTGGGGTGGGGGGGAGGCGGCTGTTAGAGCCATTAGTCAACAGCAGTATCCACATCTTGGGTCCTCTTTTGCCAGAGGCTGCTTTCAGTGGAACTCACGGGGCTCCATGTGGTACCTTTGTTCCCTAACTTGAACTTGCCACCCACGATAATGAACCTGAATTGGATCTCTTCTGTGAGGTGAAGGCAGTTCTTTCATACTGATGAGTAAACCTATCTGGACACATCAAACATCCTGCTGAACATTTTGCATCACTTCCCTCTGCGTATGGCTGCAATGGGTATTTGAAGAATTCCAGTAAGTCATACTTTTTCTACACTGGTACCAGTGGTCATCAATTGATATTCTTCTCTAAGTCATTTCGGAAAGATTTTGTAGTGGGGCACCTGAGTGGCTCAGTCAGTTGAGTGTCCGACTTCAACTCGGGTCACGATCTCACTGTTTATGAGTTTGAGCCCCGCATCAGGCTTACTGCTGTCAGGCTGTCAGCACAGAGCCTGCTTCCAAACCCCTGTCCCCCTCTCTCTGTCCCTCACCACTTGCAATCTCCCAAAAATAAGTATTTAAAAAAAAAAGAGATTTTGTATAATTATTTTCATTGATATGTTATTTTCAAAACTTCAGTACCTTTTGGTCTAAATACAGGATAAGAAGCTAAGATGTATTAATAATATGGAATGGATTACTAAAATACAAATACCTGAAGCGTTCGTTTCCATTTAACGTTAGGGTATAATACATACCAGAAATCTATGCAGTTTCCAAACAGAAAGGCAACAACTATTGGTGAAAATGAACCAGGATGGTCTATTTAGTGAAGATGAAGCAGCCTCTGATGTTAATGGTATATGTCAGGTTCAACAACTGTAACTTTCACTAGAAAAATTAGCAGTATTTACAGGAATGTGTGGCACGCAAAGTAGCACTTAACTGGTATTTTACTCAGAATATTACTTATTATTTTTTTAAAATGTTTATTTACTTTTGAGGCAGGGGTGGAGGGACAGAGAGGGAGACAGGGAACCCCAAGCAGGTTCCGCGCTGTCAGCACAGAGCCCGATGCAGGGCTTGAACTCTTGAAACAGGAGATCATGCCCTGAGCCGAAATCGAGTCAGATGCTCAACTGCCTGAGCCACTCAGGTACCCCATCCTGACATATACCTTTAGAATCACCTCTCATAAATAATCTCAGGACAATATTTTGTTACCTATTTAAAATACTTTTCTTCCCTTGGTTATAGCAATTTTATGAAAGAATGAGATTTAAGAGTCACTTGAGGGGCGTCTGGCTGAGAGGAGCTTGAGTGTCCTGAACTCACCACCTGGAGTTCGAGTCCCAGGCTGGGTATAGAGACTACATAAATAAATCTTAAAAAAAAAAAAAAAAAAAATCACTTGAAGCTCAGTAAGGACTGCCCAAGATCTAACTATTTTTGTGTTCTTTGCGAATAAAAACCAAAGCAACCAATAAGTATTTTCTTCTTTTCCTACTTGTCTCCTTAGAGCCAACTTCAATGACTATGTATGTACTCCAGGAACTACAGACCAACTTCAAGTACTGTCTGTAAAGAATAGTTTAGAATTGCTTCTTACATGTTTTTGCTTAACCTATTTTGTAAACTGAAGTCAACCCTTGGAACACCTTCACTACCTTTATTTCCTTCAATAAAAATGAGTAATTTGACACTTCAGGTAGACTTAACATTTTTAATACCCAACTTCCTTAACATAAGGTAAAGCAGTCTCAGGCAGGCAACCACTGCGAGTTTTTTCAATGTACACGGTATTACATGGTAGGATCACGTTCAGTGTTCAGTGTCAGATGGCGTTAATTTAAAAGAGGCCAAAAACAAAGTTAAGAATGAATTCTTTTTTGAAAAGCTTCTAATGTTAATTCACTTCCTGACAAATAAGTTTATACTGATGAGTAGAAACCTATTTTCAGTCTCTGTCCTTAAAACTGCTTACAAATTCTCAGAACACAGAAAAACTAAGTTTGAACGCATTTCTAACAGTTTAACAATTTATGTGCCTTATTAGGATCTTTTTATGGAATGTTTTGAAACCAATCGTTATTTCGCTGCAAAGTCAGAAAAAGAAAACAGCTTTTTGAACAGCATGTTACAATGACCCGGACAAAAGGAATTATCAACTAGTAATAACTAACACATGCAACAGACTGAGAAATTAAATCCTCTGCTATATACTTTTAAATATTTTGTCCGACATGAGAAATGTTTCTATCAATGACATTCATCTTCCCACAAATTCAACTTTATTTCCAACAAGAAAACGGTTCTTTCTGTCCAGATGTTTAGGTTTATCAGTGCAAAGTAAAACGAAGCAATCTCAGTAGAAATGGCTTATTACAAGGTTATTCTAGAAAGGCTTAATCCTCAAAATGTACTAAAAGATGTCCAAATCGTGAGAATGATCAACCTCGATGGCTTCCTCTGCATCCAACTTGGTCTCTCCGTGGCTTTCCTGCGGCTCGTCAAGAGAGGCCAGCGCCTCATTTGTGTCACTTGCGAAAGTTTCTCGCGATGTATCATCATCTTCTTGAAAATTTAGATTTTTAATAGCTTGTTTCATCTTTTTTCCCAACACTTGGGTTCTCCTCTTCCTAGCAGCCTTTTTATTTTCATACTCCTTTTGATTTTCAATGTAGAAAATGTCCTACAATAAAGGAACAACTTTAAGCAAGAATTATCATGTATTAAACGTTTGCTACAAGGCGGATCCTTGGTGATCTCCGTTTCTCACAAAAAACGTGGGACATTTTCCAGGACGCTACAGAAAAGGGATTTCGTAACACAAAAGGTAGAGGGTCTCTCCACCTTGGCCATCTGAAATCTCAAGTGAGGCGATCTCCGTGGTGGTCTGCTGTGTGCACCGCGGGGTGTTGAGCAGCACGCCCGGCCTCTACCACCCGCACACCCCCACCCACACCCTCACTGTGAGCACCAAACATTCCTCCAGGCACCGCCAAACGTCCTCACATCCTCCATGAGGCAAAACTGCTGGCAGGTAAGAGCTCAAGTAGAAAATGCATTTTATTAAACTATTACATGGAAAAACGTTAAAATCCCATCTGGGAACCTTGATATGGATGGAGAAGTGTAGTTTCAGAGGGTACAAAAGAAAGTAGGTCAGGGATCTAAAGAGAAGGCCCAAAATGACTTCGCTAAGACAGAGCAGGTTCAGAGGATGAAAACAGAAGCTAGGAGGGGCCGGACATACTTGTGACAGACTTCCCTTATCTTCCGGGAAGGGACTATTAAAAGCTGCAACCTGGGGCACCTGGGTGGCTCAGTTGGTTAAGCTTCAGACTTTGGCTCAGGTCATGATCTCACGGTTCGTGGGTTCAAGCCCCGCATCGGGCTCTGTGCTGACAGCTCAGAGCCTGGAGCCTGTTTCAGATTCTGTGTCTCCCTCTCTCTCTGACCCTCCCCTGCTCATGCTGTTTCTATCTCTTTCTCTCAAAAATAAATAAAACATTTAAAAAATTTTTTCTTTAATAAATAAAAGCTGCAACCATGTCAGTCTCTATTTTATTCTTAAAGTGTACAGATCACAAATCCTTCCTTGTTTATAAAAAGCACTGTGGAAGATGGTGAAATAAAGGGGGTCTTCTCTGAAAATTTATGCTGAATAGTTATAAGCAGCACACAGAATTAGGAGAGGAAGGAGTAAGGAACCCGGAAATGAAGGAGACAAGGGCAAGCTTCAGAAGATGAATGCTTTGATGGAGAAAAGGAAGGAAAGTATTTGCTGGCGAAAGGACACGAGATTGGAGGTAGAGAAGGAGGGTACACGTGGAGGAAGGACACAAGAAAGTGACCTTAGAGGAAAAGGAGGCAGGCAAGCCACTGACCCAACGGGCACATTTACACGCCAGGCTTTGTGCGAAGAACTCTTCATTCTCACCAGAAGCTCCTTCTGGTGGGTATCAGCCTTTCCTGACGAGGAAAGGGACAGCACCTGCATCGGCAGCACATATGTGAAAATCGGAGGAGGAAAGGGAGGCAGGAGACTGCAGAGCCTATATGTGGAGGTATCAAAAGTTAGCTCTTCTAGTACTTCTCCTAATTCACATCTTAAGACCAATTGTGTTGCCGTTACAGAAGAGCGACAATTCGCAATTTTTTCAAGAGTCTCCTTAACCTTCAAGTGGAAAGAGAAAAGAAGCTGCAGGGAGAAGTATTTCCATTTCACAGGAAAGCATGTCCGAACACCTCGATAAAAACAATTCTCAGTAGTACAAGGCTTGGCAACACTCAGTAAAATTATAACGTTCCCCTTTTCCCCCCAAATACATCAAGACTTTTTAAAAAGGAACTGCATTCCACGGCTTATGAATGTGACAGAACTGGGAAACGGCCCAAAGACGTGTTGTAACTCGTTGTTAATGTGTTCTGACAAATGCCGACAAGAGATAATCTGAAGGCAGTTTTTTTTCTCCCATCCATATCTACCTACATGAAATTAATTTTACAACTTGAGAACCTCAACTGTATACTATTTGCAGAGGGAGACCATTACAGCTGAACTTTTTAAAATATAGCAACTTAAGGGCACCTGGGTGGCTCAGTTAAGTGTGTCTGACTCTTGGTTTTGGCTCAGGTCTGGGTCTCACGGTTTGTGGGCTTGAGCCCCACGCTGGGCTCTGTGCTTGAGATTCTCTCTCTCCCTGTCTCTGTCCCTCCCCTGCGTGCTTATGTGCACGTGCCGTCTCTTTCAAAATAGACATTATAGCAAATTAAATTTTAACTACTCTTATTCTTTTCTTTCACAAACTATGTATTTTCTAAAACAAAACTTCAAATAATTACAGACCAAAACAAAATGGTATGTCACAAAGCAAAACAAAATCAAATTTAAAAAAAAGGCAAAAAGACTCACTCAATTCAGTTCCGGCTTCCAAGCTCTACAGATTGGTTGATAGCATTATAGGGATCAAAGAACACTTATAACGTTATCATTTGGAATGCAATTAAAATGATCTATGATGAAATTCCATTTGCTTTAGGTTTTTTTCTCTAATAACAAAACTACTCCATGAACCATGCATAAAATTTGGAGAAACAAAGGAAAATCTTAAAAGCCAAAACATTTAAACCCCCCTAGAACAGACCAAATCATTGGTAACTTTTTGCTGTTTTATATACCAACTTATTGTCACATGCCTCTTTTTCATCATAAATTTGTATTTTGCCTTTTAAAAAAACTTCAGTTAATACTGTATTTTTCCCCTTTTCTTAATAATGCTGTGAAAAGGGGCGCTTGGGTGGCTCAGCTGGTTGGGCTTAGGTCTTTGATCTTGCCATTCGTGGTTTTGAGCCCTGTGTTGGGCTCTGTGATGACAGCTCAGAGTCTGGAGCCTGCTTCAGATTCTGTGTCTCCCCCTCTCTCTGCCCCTCCCTGATTCATGCTCTGTCTTTTCTCTTTCTCTCAAAAAATAAATAAATGTTGAAAACAATGTGTTAATGCTTCACAGAAATAGAGGCTAAAGGGCAGTCCTTTAAAAAAATCCCCTTTTGGGGTATGCCTGGCTGGCTCGGTCAAAAGAGCATACAACTCTTGATCTTAGGGTCTAGAGTTCGAGCCCCATATTGAGTGTGGAGATTACTTAAAATAAATAAACTTTAAAAAATGTAGCTCTTGGTCAACATTCTTTAGTTATTAGGTATTCCAAATGTTTCCACTGTTTGTTGTTACAATGCAATGTTCCTGGCAGTTTAACATAACCTACTAACATTAAAATCTCTTTCTCCACCATGAGTTAGAACTGAATTTCAAAGACGTGTGACTCAGTGACAACAACCTGTTTCAAGTCAGTTTTCTGTGCAATCCCAGGCTGATCATTTTTATTACTCGTCCTGTGCAGAACACTGAAACATCCACTTTGACAGGATGGGGTGCAGATTAAGTCCTTTGAGTAAGTGGTCCAGTGCTGCGGACATGATGAATAAATGTTATTTTCTTTTCTTCCACTTGTGGAAATTGTCCAACGTTTGGTTACCTACAAGAATCTTCTCCAGATACCATTTTATTTAATCTGATTAGAGCTCTATTCAACAGGCAGGCCACTTAATAAAGTCCCCCCTTTATACATGACAAAATTAAGGGTGAGTGAAAGTAAGTGATCTGTTTGTAGTCATATAATCACTAAATGGCAAAATTAAGACTAAAACCCAAATTTTGAATGTTAGAGAATTCTTTTTATTTCATCATGCGATTTCTCTGCAAACAGGAACATTTTGCCATGAAACTGTGTAATGTTCCTTAGAAGAATGTGCACACTTTTTTTTTAAATTTTTTTTAACGTTTTATTTTATTTCTAGGAGAGAGAGAGAGAGAGAGACAGCATGAGCAGGGGAGGGTCAGAGAGGGAGGGAGTGAAAGACTCTGAAACAGGCTCCAGGCTCTGAGCTGGCAGTCAGCACAGAGCCCGATGCGGGGCTCGAACCCATGAACTGCGAGATCATGACCTAACCAAAAGTCGGACGCTTAACCGACTAAGCCACCTAGGCGCCCCTGAATGTGCACACGTTTTGTCAGGGATGACAGTGTGGGAGGCGGAGAACATAAGCAGGAAACCCTGTCCTACTCCTCAGCAGGTGTGTTCCTCAGGAAAATTACATTGTTACAAAGGTACCAAAGTCATTGTTCCAGGAGGAAAAAAAGGCAGATATGGACAAGAGATTTCAAATATGCAGTAACAGTAACATTTCCTGTAGGAATTTCAAAAGCAGATTTTTGAAGAATGACTGAAGTCGACAGCCAGAAAATTTGAGGGGAAAAAAAGCTAACACTGAGGGACGCCTGGGTGACTCAGTTGGTTAGATTTGACAAGATCTTGACTTTGAATGAGGACATGATCTCAGGGTTCTGGGGGACTGGGTCATGAGTTGGGCTCTGTGCTGACAGCGCCTTAGCTCAAGAGAAGCGGCTTTTATTTATCTGTCATCATGAGTATTATAAACGGCTAATCCACATTCCTATGGCCTGTACTACCCACTGTTACAATACAGAGAATACAAAGCTGATCAAATACACTATCTGTGGCGCATGTGTATCACCTCTTCCCCATGCAAGTAGCAACTTCTCAATCGTGATTGTACCTGCTAAATGTAATCATGTTACTTAATTAGTAAATTAAAGGATAAATGCTGAACTGTGAAAAATTCACACTGTAGAAGAATTCCCACAGAGGGCATTCTAGTAATGCAAAAATGATTAATATAGAAGCCTAGATTTAGTTCATAAGAACTACTGGAGACAGAGGAACGAAATGAAACAAATCCACATAGAGATAATGACCACGATGTGGTACACTCTATTAGATAACCATCTCAGACTCTTCAAAATGTCTAGGAGCGCCCGGGTGGCTCAGTCGGTCAAATGTTACCTTCTGCTCAGGTCATGATCTCACGGTTCATGGGTTCGAGCCCTGCGTGGGGCTCTGTGCTGACAGCTCAGAGCCTGGAGCCTGCTTCAGGTTCCGTGTCTCTCCCTCTCTCTACCCTCCCCCACTCACACTCTGTTTCTCAACAACAAATGTTTAAAAAAAAGTCTAAATCATGAAAGAAACTGCGGAGTTAAAAAGAGCAAAAGAGATACAACAAATGAAATGTGAAAATCTAGATGGGATCCTGGTTTGAGGGAGGAAAAAAAGGTAGAAAATACATTCTGGGAACAATTCAGGAAATTGGAATTAGGTCAATGCTTGATAGGATGAAACTGGTTTTCTTTCTCTTAGGCAATACACTGTAGGATAGTGTCATTATTAACAGTTGCTTCCTGCCATGCTTAGGCCTGAGTGTCATGATGTTTATTACTTATTTCCAAATGGTACAAAAAAAAACAACTGTAAAGTAAGAATCTCAAAATATTAACAACCCCAAATCTAAGTGCAGGAAATTCATCCCATTATTCTTTCATCCATTCTCCGTGTTTGAAATCTTTAATTAATAAAAAGTTGTGGGAGGCTAGAAAAAATAATCACATGCTAAATGACCAGGAAAACAGCCCATATAGGAAACTGTGACACTGGCTCACAAAGTGAAGAAAAAGAAGAGGCAGAGTTTTTAAAGGGACACGTTTTACTTGATATGAGACAATGACAAAACTGGTCAATTTAAGGCAGACTAGGTGATTGGAATTAACAGAAGCAGAGTAAAAGTCAAATTATGATCGACCTTAAAAGTGAAGGGCACTATACTTTTTACCTTAATTTGCTCCTCACTGATGCTGGGAGTATTTTTCAGGAGATTCAGGAAGACTCCACCTGGTGTTCTTCTTCGACTACCATTCTACAAAAAAAAGCACAAGTATGATACTGTAGAGGCTCTTTCCGTGAATGACCAAAGCATCTCTTAAATAGAGAGATACCAGGGCGCCTGGTAGCTAGTCAGTTAAGGGTCCAAATCTTTTTTCAAAATCTTTTCATGTTTATCCATTTTTTTTTTTAGAGAGAGAGACAGAACATGAGTGGAGGAGGAAAGAGGGGGAGACACAGAATCTGAAGCAGGTTCCAGGCTCGGAGCTGTCAGCACAAAGCCTGACGTGGGGCTTAAACTCCTTAACCATGAGATCATGACTTGGCTGAAGTTGGACGCTTAATCAACTGAGTGACCCAAGGATCCGACTCTTGATTCCACTCCAGTCAAAATTTCATGGTTCATGAGATCAAGGCCCCGCGTCTTGGGGCTCTGAGCTTACAGCACGGAGCCTGCTTGGGATTTTCTCTCTTTTTCTCTCTCCCCCCAGCCCTTGCCCCACTCATGCTCCCTCTCAAAATAAATAAACTTTAAAGATTTTTTAAAATGTTTATTTATTTTTCAGAAAGGGGGAGGGGCAGTAGAGAGAGAGGGAGACACAGAATTCAAAGCAGGCTCCAGGCTCTGACCTGTCAGCAAAGAGCCTGATGCAGGGCTCCAACTCACAAACTGTGAGATCATGACCTGAGCCGAAGTCCAATGATTAATCTACAGTTACCCAGGCACCTCTAAATAAACTTCAAAAAAAAATTTTTTTTAATAAAAAGAGGTACTTAAAAAAAATAGTAAGACTGCAGTGTCTGTCCTCCTCCCTTCTCCATACCTCCATGTGATCTCTTTCTTTTACCATAGCATTCATCACATTCTAACATTCCCGAAGACATTATATTTACTCTTATACAGTGTCCTTCACACCTCCTGTGTCTAGAACAGTGCAGAGCACACATCAGTAAGTAATTGTATAAGGAAAAAGTCCATCAAAAGAGAGTCTGGACTTGCATCTTTCCAACATGCATAGATTTTCATTAGGTCACTATGATATAAAGTTCTATTACTACAGTCTTAAAATATTAATGAATCTATAACTTTGTGTTCAACTGTTATCAGTGACACAAAAAAGGGTGCCAATACATTCATGAGTATTTTTTTTTTTTTAGATTATTTCTCCATTTTGAGAGAGAGTGAGAGAGAGCGAGAGAGAGCGAGCGAGCAAGCACAAGCAGGGGAGGGGCAGAGAGAGGATCCCAAACAGGCTCTATGCTGCGAGCGCAGAGCCCAATGCAGGGCTAGAACTCACCAACCTCAAAATCATGACAAGCCAAACCCAAGAGTGAGACGCTTACTGACTGAACCACTCAGGTACCCTCATGACTTATTATAACTTGTTTTGTGGTTAACTTCTGTAATCCATGGTCATAGGCTATTTCCTTAGCCACTGCTATCTATTCTAACTGGTTTCTTTTCTATTTCCAAAGGATAATATTGATTCACTCTCATCTGATGTTACTATTCAGATTCGTGAGGAGCAAGTAAGAAGGAAGCCATTCAAACTTCATCCTCTCCCGGTGTGAAAGCTGAATTAATGAGATCTCCAAGACCATTACCTGGGACAAACTGCCTGGGCCTGTGGCCTAAGGAGAATAGTGGTCTTTCTGCCATTCTCAAACGGTAGTGTTTGTCACCTCACACCTGTCAGACGGCTAATATCAAAAAAGACAAAAAATAACAACTGTTGGTGACAATGTGGGGAAAGCAGAATTTTTGTACACTGTTGCTGGGAACGTAAACTGGTGTGGCCACTATGAAAACCAGCATGGAGGTCCCTCAAAAAATTGAAAATAGGAATACCATATGAGAGGCACCTGGGTGGCTCAGTTGGTTATGCGTCAGATTTGGCTCAGGTCACGGTCTCACCGTTCGTGGGTATGGGCCCCTGTACTGATGGCTCAGGGCTCGGAGCCTGCTTCAGATTCTGTGTCTCCCTTTCTCTGTGCCTCTCCCATGCTCTCGCACTGTCTCTCTCAGTCTCTCAAAAATGAATAAACATTATAGGGACGTCTGGGTGGCTTAGCTGGTTGAGTGTCCATTTTGGCTCAGGTCATGATCTCATGGTTCGTGGGTTCCGGCACTGTGTCTGATTCTGTGCTGAAAGTGTGGAGCCCGCTTGGGATTCTTTCTTTCTCTCTCTCTCTCTGTCTCTCTCTGTTCCTCCCCTACTTGTGCTCTCTCTCTCTCAAAATAAATAAACTTAAAAAAATAAATAAATAAAGGTTAGCCCCTTCTTTCAATAAATTCTGTAAGATGTACTGTTGACTGCACACTAACAGGATACAATTTATGTATGGTTTTTGTAAAATAATAAATGCAAAAACTAACCATATACAGAATTTTTAAATTGAGTTTTTAAAAATCTGAAACACACTGTAATAAATAGGTAAATAAGATATCCAACAAACAGAGTTCATTTTTTTAAAAAAATCACATGAAACACAATATAAAAAGGAAAACAACAAAACAGTCTTACCATTATAAAAAGGCCGCCATTTTGTTCAACTTCAGCTGTTTCCATCAGAAGTTCAATTGCCTTTTTGTTCCCAATTATCCTCACTACTCGTGCTATCAGATCTTTCTTTGGTTCCTGCAACCTGATAAGGAACAAATAGAGTAGTATTAACTTCTTTATTTGCTGTATAAAGTTGAAGACATCTATGTTAGCCTCCAGCTTAGTGCCCAAGTAGAATAAAAATCCTTTTCTGCTAACACCTGCATTTTGAAATCTCTAATATTTAACCTCAGAATCACTGATACGGAAACACCATCTTGGGTCAAAGAAGAAGACAGTAACTTCAAGGTTCCACCTCAAGTCTCCTAACTTGCATCTTCATTTTGCCTTAATGGATTATGGTAGCTTTCAAAATAAATATGTACATCCAGCAAAGGGAATGTAAGCTTAAAAGCAAAAGAAGGTTAAGTCCTTTCTTGTCAAAAGAAGTAAAAAACATACACTATGCTTTCAATTACTATGCCTAAAAGTTAGCTCTGCTAACTCCAAAGATGTCTGGGAGCTTAAAAATGGATAGGGCCTTTCTTTTAGTCCCTGCCTCAGAGCAAAGGCTGTGGCTAATATTTACTGACTTATTATGGGATGAGCACAATCCTAAAATGTATTATCTCAGTTAATTATCTCAACAACCTTATGAAACAGGTACTTATTTTCCTTCTACCACTGACAGGTAAAAAGATAGGAAGCTTAAGTAACATTTATAATGTGAGAGTCCACACTCCATAGAGATAAAGGAGTATATGGGAGTTTTACTAGTTCTCAAACTAGACCTGGCTTTCTGCTCCTTCTCAACAAGAGGTAGTGCCTTATTGAGGAAAGAGCACTCAACTAGGAAAAAAGGGACCAAGGTTTAGTTCCAACTCTGACACTTACAACTTTGACTTTGAGAAGCCGTATGACCTACTGGGTCTCAGTGTCCTTATCTGTTAAGTGAAGTCTTTGGCTTATAAAATCTAAATTCCTTTCCAACATGCAAATTCCAAACTCACTCTGTAGCTTAAAAAAATCTAGTACTAACATTGACAGGCTCGTCTGAAAAGTAAATACTTATTTCCCCTACCACCAGTATTACTCTTGAACCATATCTGTTTTCAAATGGTATTGTTCTGGGGCACCTGGGTGGCTCGGTTAAGCATCCGACTTCAGCTCAGGTCATGATCTCGCGGTTTGTGGGTTTGAGCCCCGCGTCAGGCTCTGTGCTGTCAGCAAGCTCAGAGCCTGGAGCCTGTTTTGGATTCTGTGTCTCCCTCTCTCTCTGACCTTCCCCTGCTCATGCTGTCTCTCTCTCAGAAATAAATAAATAAACATTAAAAATTAAAAAAAAAAAGAAGAAAAAAAAGAATTGGAACAGCAATTCAATATGGATATTTCTATATGTACATAAATTAAAAATCAACACCCAATATGGGTGAATTTTATCATGTGTACAATATGCCTCAATGAAGTTATAAAAGAAAGGTCATGAGTATTTGAAAACACTAAAGAACAGAGGCACCTGAGTGACTCAGTTGGTTAAGCAGCCCACTTCGGCTCAGGCCATAATCTCATGGTTTGTGAGTTTGAGCCCCATGTTGGGCTCTATGCTGACAGCTTGGAGTCTGGAGCCTGCTTCAAGTTCTGTGTGTCCCTCTCTGTCTCTCTCTCAAAACTGAATAAAAAAAAAATTAAAAATTAAAAAACCCACTAAGGAACAAAACAAAACCCCACAATTTAAAAAGATAAACACTAAATGGGAAGAGCTGCTAAAAGTTCATAAATGCTTGCCAAATTATTTTATCAGGCTAGTCCAAATTTAAGGAAACACAGATACATTCCTATGACCAAGTAAACCCAGAATCCATTACTCAAAAAAAAAAATCTCAAAAAGAAGGGTGCCTTGGTGGCTTGGTCAGTTAAGCGTCCAACTCCTGGTTTCAGCTCAGGTCATGATCTCACAGTTCGTGGGATCGAGCTGGCATGGGGCTCTGAGCTGATAGCACAGAGCCTGCTTGGAATCTACCCTCTCCCTCTCTCTGCCCCCTCCCCTGCTCACATGCACACCCTCTCAAAATAAACAAACTTAAAAAACAATTTATTTTTCATCTTAAAAAGAAGCATCATTCTTTATGTACTTGGGATCATTTCCAATAAATGAAAAATTGTGGGTCAAGTGCTCATTTGTAGGCGAAATTTTAATGCTCACCTGAAAGAAATTTCATCAGCCACTTTCTCTTGCGAATCTTCCTCTGTGATCTCATAGCGGCCTTTGTAGTTCATTTCTAGTCTGTCCCCTAGTCTGTCTTTGACAGGTCGTTTTCGTTTGAGATGACCTTGCCCGTTTTCCTCTTCCTTTGATTCCATTTTTTTCCCACCGTGCATATATTCATCTAGCTCTTTGTCTAATTCTTTCGTATGTTCTTGAGATTCCCTCTTAAGTTTCTTAGCAAGCAAATAATTGTAAGTCTCGGACTGTCTGCTTTTGTCTATAGTACCCTCCATTCCCAAGATACCAAGTTCAGTGGCCACGGCATCTTGATTCTGTTCTTGTAGCACAGCACCCCATATGTTGTTAACCTTCTTCCCTCCAGGAACAGGTGCTTTCTGGCTGCTCTGGCCAAACTGAAAAGGCTCTGGCTTGGGAGGAGGATTAAAACATTTCTGTCGCTTACGTTTCCAAAGGGAGCTGTCATCATCTGAATCAGAAAAACTCTCCTCACTGGAATCCACACTTTTAACAGTCCGATAATGTGATACCGGTGCACAAGGCGCTGCCGTACCCTGGAAGGGCCTCGCTATGCTGTCCGCACCTAGCGTTTTCTGCAAGCGAAAGGAAATGCAATCAATTTGCCGGAAACACATTAGCTCCACCCACCACGCGCTGTTTAAAAAAAAAAGTTATTTAGGGATTCAGCTGGACCACTGTGAAGCAGAACAATCCTCAGTGAATCTCTGAAACCAATCCAGTTGCTACTTTTCTAAAGTTCTACACGGCATTTTCCAACTTTAAAACCACAAACTCTTATTTCTAAAGCTGATACACCACTTAGTTCTAAGGCTACCTTCTAAAAACCTACCAGAGCTCTTAACTGCCACCTTAGAAGATTTTCAATATTTTCAATTACTGTCAGAATGTTTAAAAATGACATACGCCATTATTTTTAGTAGCAGTTGTGAAATAAAAGGAAACCTCACTAAACTCGGGGCAGCCGGTTAGAAGAGGGAGCTCTATCATCAGGAAAAGACCATAACTTGCACCTAACACAGAAAGAAGTCTCTACCTCACTAATCAAGCAAGAGAAAGCTTTTCTTGTAGCCTGGCAACAGCCCAGCCAATGAAAGACTGTCCCAACTCAGCCAATGAAAAGCCACTATACCTTAAAACTCCCAGCTTATTCCAAGGAACTTTTTTTTTACAGTTCCTCCCAACTCCTCCCCCTCTTCTCTTTATTTCCCACTTGCCCATGGTTTTGCCCTAGCAATGGTTGTTCAGAGTTGAGGTTTTCAGCTGTTTCAGAATAAACCCCGTTTTTCCTGATAAAATAATTGACAAGTTTTATTTAAAAGTTAACACAGTTGTGTTATGCCGAGCGAAATAAGTCAGGCAGAGAAGGACAAATATCATGTTTGTACATATAGCAGGATTAGGAGGAACTTAACTGAGGACCATGGGGGAGAAGAAGGGGGGAAATGGTGGGGGAAAGGGAGAGAGGCAAACCATGAGAGACTATCGAATGCTGAGAAACAAACTGAGGACTGATGGATGTGGGGGTAAGGGGGGAGATGGGCATGGAGGAGGGCACTTGTGGGGATGAGCACTGGGTGTTATATGGAAACCAATTTGACAATAAACTATTTAAAAAAAAGTTAACACAGTTGTAACAATTTTTCCTTGTTTCCAAACAAGACATTCTTCCATTTAAACAAATCAACTTCTTGGGGCCCCTGGGTGGCTCAGTCAGTTGAACATCGGACATCGACTCAGATCATGATTTCACAGTTCGTGGGTTTGAGCCCTGCGTAGGGCTCTGTGCTGACAGCTCAGAGCATGGAGCCTGCTTGGGATTCTGTGTTTCCCTCTCTCTGCCCTTCCCCCACTCATGCTGTGCTTCTCTCTGTCTCAATAATAAACATTAAAAAAATTTTTTTAAATAAAAAAACCAAACCAATTTCTTTTGTATGGTTTTGTGACCATACTCTTCTCGATATTAGATAGTAACCCCTGGCGCCTGGGTGGCTCAGTTGGTTAAGCGTTTGACTTCAGCTCAGCTCATGATCTCAAGGTTTGTGAGTCTGAGCCCCGCGTCAGGCAGCATCTGGCTCTGTGCTGACAGCTCAGAGTCTGGAGCCTGCTTGGGATTCCGTGTCTCCCTCTCTCTGCCTCTCCCCCACTCACGTTCTGTCTCTCAAAAATAAATATTAAAAAAAAATATTTTTAAAAGATAGTAAACTCCTACGCATAGGAAACCCCGACTACTTCTAAAACTGCACACAGTTCAAGGTACTAAGCTTACCAAGTCATGGGTCAATCTATATAAAACCTGGAAAAGATTGAAAACCAAAACTGAAACCTTCGTTATCAACTTCCAGAAACCTATATTCAAAAAATTCTACATTCAATCTATATTCTATATTCAAAAACAAATCTATATTCAAAAACAAAAAGGAACACCTTTGTGTTTTTATTAATCAAGTATGTGCTAGAAATGGCAGGCGGGAAGGGCAGCCAGTTCCCCCATCTTCAAATAACTAAGGCATCTAAGATCTGTTAGGCATTACTGTGCACCGTTATGACTCACTAAATCCTTAACATACTCTTCTCATTCCCATTATACAAATTGGGGCACTGGGCTAAACAACTTGGCCCTGGTCACACAGTGGAGGCGCCAGTTTTCGAATGCCAGCAGCCTAGCACAAAGCTCGCTCAAAGTGCTTGCTACTTAGCAGGCAATCAAAACACACTCCCCCTTAAAAAAAAAAACGGGGAGGTTAGTACAAAACCTGATCCACATTATTGCACCGCGAAGCTCGGTCGCTTGGGAATATGGAAAATCAGTCCCCTGTGCATATGATGCACTTCATTCCCGGTCCTCAGTCTCCTTATTTGCTCTGGGAGAAAAGGAGCGCCATAGGCGGTTTCTGGCCGCTGTCCCCAGCTTCTACATTTTCGGCCACATCTGCGGGGCCGAGGCAACCTAACCTCGGCGCAGCAGGAAAACTCCATAAATTTGGGAAACGCAGAGCAGCGCGGGGCAGGCGCAGAGACGGCTGCACGCCCGTCTCCAGGAGGCCGAAAGCCACGCGATCCCGCCCGGTAACCAGATGCCCGGCCAGGGTTCGGATGGCCCGCTGTCGCGTCTCCGCCCCGCGCCTCTGCCCGCCGCCGGGGCCTGCGCGCCCGGCCGGGGACGCCCGCGGGCCGCTCCGCCACCCCGCCGCGCGTCCCGCGTGTAGCCCGGGCTGCGCGCGCGCCCGCCCCTCACCCACCCCGCAGCGCGGGCTGCGCGCCCCCGGCTCCCAGTTACCCGCCCGCCCTTCACACTCACCGGCACCTGCAGCGGCCTGTCGCTGGGTGCGACCGTCATGTCGGAGTCCGAGTCGGAGAGCTGCCCATCTTCCATGTCGCCGGCGTCCTGCGCCATCTTCCCGCGGCGTGGTGCGGCGGGTCAGGAGAGCACTTCCGGCGGCGCAGGGCCGGCCGGCGGCGGCTGCTCGGGCGCCCCCGCGAGGGGCCCGCGCCGGCCCAGGCGGCGTGCGCCACCGTCTCTGGGTACCCGGGTCGGCGTAGACGGATACGCTCGGTCACCGCACGCTGTGCACCGCTGGCGCCGCTCCGGGAAGAAGGAACCTCCTGTTTCCCCAGCAGTCTGGCGCGGTTTCTCTCAAACTTTGTTCTCGTGCAAACGTTAGGTTGTGCACGGGTTTCCTCTCTTGGCCTCACGTCTCTCACCAGGATGCCCCGCGCAGGGCTTCTTTGCTTCCATTCTTGCTCCTGCACAATCCACTCTTCTCCTCGTAGCTTCTTGGGGAGACTTTCAGACAGTGCCTGAGATAACTGGCCTGCTCAGACCTTCCGTGGACTTCCTTCTGTGAACTTGCCTGCAGACAGTAAGGCCTGCGTTCTCACAATGGCAAACACAGGCACCTATGCCCCTCTGTCGCTCTGCGCTGCTCACAGTGTCCCTCAGGCATCCTTTGTTCTTCACGGCTCAGGGCCTTTGCCGTTGCTGTGGTCTCTGCATGGCGGACCCCTGACACCTCCATTCTTTGCGCCGGTTGTTCTCTTACGTGATTCAGTTTTCCGGTTAAGTGCCACCTTCTCAGGGCGGGCACCCAACTAAAATAAGATCCTCTACCCTCAATCTTGAACGAACGCTTAGCTTCCTTAATGGCATCAATAGTTATATGTGTATTTGTCTTCATTTTTTTCTTTCCCCTACTGGCATGTCTGTTTTATTTACTGTTGTTTCTCTGCAGTGTTCGGCTCCCCCAACTGGTAGTGCAGAGCCTGACCCTGGCCTTGGACTCACCGACTGTGAGATCATGACCTCAACCCTGAAGTGGTCGCCGAAGGGCCTGAGCCACCTCTCCGCTGGAGCTCGCCCTTCTTGATTTTGGCATTGTGAATTCCGGCTTCATGTTGGGGGTCAGGTAGATTGTACTTTTGAAAACTTTTACAAAATTGAGGGGGGCCTGGGTGGCTCAGTGGGTTAAGCCTCCGGGTCTTGATTTCGGATCAGGTCATCATCTCCCAGTTGGTAAGATTGAGCCCCACACCCAGGTCAGTGCTGACAGCATGAAGTCTGCTTGAGATTCTCCTTCTCCCTCTCTCTTTCGCCCTCTGCTCCCCCCACTCAGAATAAATAAACCAGGGTGCCTGGGTGGCTCAGTCGGTTAAACACCCGACTTCAGCTCAGCTCACGATCTCATAGTTTGTGGTCTCAAGCCCCGTGTAGGGCTCTGTGCTGACAGCTAGCTCAGAGCCTGGAGCCTGCTTCGGATTCAGTGTCTCCCTCTCTCTCTGACCCTCCCCGACTTGCACTCTGTCCCTCTCTCTCTCTCAAAAATAGAAACATTAATAAAAGACTTTTAATGAATAAACTTTAAAAATTTTTTTAAAATTAAAAAAATATATAACAATTTATCCTGGATACCTTTCTATGCCAAAATATAAAGATCTAGCTCCTTTTTAAAGTCTACCTAGTATTTCCTTGCATGGAGATACCGTCATTTATTTAAGCTCTAATGGTATCCATTTAGGCTGTAGCCAATTTTGCAATTAACACGTATTTTTACAAACTTGTTTTATTATCACCTTGGGATAAGTTTCTAGACTGTATGGAATAGAATGAATATAGATTTGTGAAATGTGAATTTAAGACCTATAAAGGAATTTAGAAATCACCTAGTTTAATCCATTATTTTGACAATGAAAAGAGATTACACAGCCATGCTATTTCAGAGCCGAGTCTTGACTCCAGATCTCTTAAATCTTAGACAACCTTATTGCTTTATCTTTCCTACCTAAAATTACAATCCCCCTGGAGTTGATTGTGTATGGTGTGAGGTAGGAGTCAAATTTCATGCTAGAATTAACATTTTTCTATGTACTATGAGATTGCAGTTAAATATCATAAAATGCATAGAATAGGTCCCTTTCTTAAGATTTTCTCCATTGGTTTCCTCTAGAAGTTTCACAGTTCTCATTCTTACTTTTAGGTGCATGGCCCATTTGGGGTTAATTCTTGTATATAATATGAAGTGAAAGTCAAGATTCATTTTTTTTTTTTTTGGCATGTGATTATCTAATTAATATATCACCTTTTGTTGAAAACACTGTCCTTCCCCCCACTGAATTTCCTTGACACCTTCATTGAAAATTGACTATATATGTCTATTTCTGGGTTCTCCTTCTGTTCCTTTAATCTTTATGTCTATCTTTATACCATCGTGACACTGTCTTCACTCCTTAGGTTTATAATAATTGTACAATTGTATAATAACTGTTAAGATTAGGTAATGGAAATTTGTTCATTTTCCCTAGGATTGTTCAGATCCTTTCCATTTAAACTTTAAATCTGCTAGCCATTTCTGGTATTATGATTGGAACGGCTTTGAATCTATCATGTAATTCAGACACTGGGGAGACTCTCTCAGCCTGATGCCATTAAATGCTGGAATCATACTGTTAGTCAATAACTCTTCTGATTCTGGGCTCATTAAATAACCAGGTAGGTTTTATATCCTGGGAGAAAATGCAGTGATTTTAGGATGTGAACCGTTGGTCCTTTCTATAGATAATTTTCCCTATAAAATAATATGCCAGCTTTCTAGCTGTAGCATCATTTCTTTGTGAGCTTGATTAATGAGTTTGCCCAGAGCAACAGTGTCACTCACCCATGCTCTGATAAATCAGGTTTTGAGTTTGCAAAACTGATATTGTGTCCTGGGTGGTGGTGATTTCTCTAATTTATTGCTGCCTTGGGGCAAATATGCATGTTCAGGTCACGTCCCTCTGCCTCCTGGCCAGCTCTCTTTGAGGAATGAAGACTTCTAGCCTTCACTGAGGACATCATAAGCACTGTTCGTTTGTCACAACGCTGTGACCCTAAGAGTCCTTGCTTTAATCACCCTCCTACAATGCCTTTCACAAGGCATTTAGAAAGTAGGATTGGCCATTTGCAGACTGTCACTTCTACCACAGAATTCTTTCAAGGTGTCCTGAGTTCAATCGGTACATGTACATTTCTGTAGGGCTTTGCAAGTTAGTCTCATGATTCACTTCACTCCGTCTCTTCCTGCTCTGCCCCATCAAAATTCATTGCTTATAATTTTTCCTGATCTCCTATTGGGCAGGGCTAAGTCAGATTTGAAAAATGGAGGTAAAAGAAAGAGATACAATCACAGTTTTCTTTAAAAATTTTTTAAATGTTTATTTATTTTTGAGAGACAGAGGCAGAGCATGAGAGGGGAAGGGGGCAGATAGAGGGAGACACAGAATCCAAAGCAGCCTCCAGGCTCCAAGCAACCAGCACAGAGCCCTGCGTGGGGCTCGAACCCATGAACTGTGAGATCATGACCTGAGCTGAAGTCAGAAGCCTAACCGACTGAGCCACCCAGGTGCCCTACAAGCTCTGTTTTCAATGTAGGAAGTTGCTGGTATCTCTTTTCCTGGAGCTGGTTTACAGAAACAGTTATGAACTTCTCTACTTGACATAGTTAAGAGAAGGAATCTGACATTCCTTGAGGGCATTACACATTGCTCCTAAAAATTTAGTACATCTGTACGTGTCTTGTGAATTAAATAGAGGAGAAGAGAGGGAAGACTGTGGTGGTGGGATACGTGTATAAGGAATCTTGCTATCAGCCAGAATTAAATTCTCAGTTAAAATGTCTGAGGGGAAAAAAAAAAAATCTGAGAATTAGAATGAGGGAAGTTACTGCCTCAGTCCTAAGGGGAGCTGAAGATAGTAGCTGGGCTGTTGCTAGATGACCTGTGCTGGACAAGGTTTCCATGCCTACTGCTCCTAAGGCGTGCTCACACATTCATTTGTCCATTCATTCATGCAAGTGCACATGAGCCTGTTGAGTGCCGGCAGTTGTGGAGCCAGGGAAGGATGAGTTAGAGATGGTCCCTGCCTGAATAGGTACAAGTGTAACTTTTACAAACAGAAACATCATTTGTGTTTATGCAGCACTTACATTGTAGTCTCTGGTAGGTGTTTGATACATGCCACATATTTGTTGAAATTATTTGAGCCATCAGGATGGAGCCGGCAGCGCTCAAACTTGAATGCAGAAATGGAAGGACACGTTTTACAGATGGAGAGAATGAATAGCAAGGGCAAAAGCACGCTGGGAAGAAAAAAGGGTTTGTAGAGAAACAAAGCGACTTAGTGTGTCTGGCTGCCGGCAGTTAGAAGTATTAGTTTGAAAAGGTAGGTTGGGAGTCACTGAGAAAAGTATTCACTCACTTGATTCAAGAGTGCATGTATATTTTTAACTCTTGGAGATGTTACTATTTTCCTTATATAAAGGGAGACCCCGTTACTGTGGAATAAGATGGGAGATGGAACGGTAAGCGCGAGGGAGGGTGAGAGTGAGTGGAAAGGCTGTTGCAGGAGACACACACAGAATCTGAAGCAGGCTCCAGGCTCTGAGCTAGTTGTCAGCACAGAGCCCGATGCGGGGCTCGAACCCAAGAACCATGAAATTATAACCTGAGCCGAAGTAGGATGCTTAACCGACTGAGCCACCCAGGCGCCCCTGTCTTTGTTCTTCAAAAGCAAGAATATACCCTGGCAGGATATTTAGAAAGAAGTATCATCATTTAACACTTTGCATTGATTAGAAAACTCTAATTTGTCATTTAACAAAGCAAGAAAAACAATCCTCTGTCTCCCTCCACCAAAAACCTCCTATGGCTACTCCACCGAACCACCCGTCACCATCACTTGGGAGGTGATTAGAAACGGGGACTCTCGGAGCCCAGCCCAGAGCCACCGAATCAGAAGGTGCATTTCACAGGATGGCTAGGTGATTACAGGCACAATACAGCCCGGCTCCAAACTAGGGTACGTTAGGGGCTATAGTTTGCTGAAAAGAATTTCTAGCCGGAGTTGCGGTTCCCGGCGGCTTCCACCAGGCGGCAGTAGCCCTCACGCTCCCTCCCTGTG